GAGGAGCAGCCCTGGGACACTACAAAGGCTGCACTCTCGCCTTCCCCAGGCGCTGGGCCCTGCTTTGCATCATGGCTCTGCCGTCCGGGCAGGGGCAGGTGCAGCTGCAAGTGCCACAATCCCGCCTCCCCAGCCCTCCCTTCCTCACGGGAAATTTATTAGCGAGGTTAGGGCAGGCTAACCAAACGGCAACCCCGGGTGCAATTTCCTCGGAGGAATGCTTTGATCCTGCTCTCTCCTTGCGCCGTCGAGGGCAGATTGCAATGACAAACGCGGGAGATCGCCGCCAATTGTTAGGTCAGAGATGTTACCGTTTAATCTGAAACAAATTGCTCCTGCCTGCGCCCCTCTCGCCGCCCCCTCTTTCCCCGCCCCTGTGGTCCCGATGCCCGGCCAGGGATCCCACCGGCAGGGCCGGGGCCCCATAACGGAGGGATCCAGCCCAGCATCGGGCCCGGACAGAAGGGGTTCTCCTCTGCAAAACATAAAGCTACTGTATATTTGCTCCAGCGAAGACGTTGAGATTTTCGTGGAGGAAAAGGGAATTAAAAAAAAAAAATAAAAAAAAATCACCTTTTCCGGTATTACCCAATCAGTACAAACCATGATTTCTTTTGCAGTTTACTTCCATAAAAATGTGGATTTTTTTCTTCTACATTCATCTCCCTCTGTCTCTTGTAAAGCAAAACTGAATACGATTTTTATCCGTGGCATGGGCCTTTCTGAACTGATAGTACCACAGAATGTTTTAAACAAGTAAGTCTGGGTTGTTGGGGGTGGGAAAGGAGTATATTCTGTTTTAAACAAGCATTTAATTTTTTACTTTTTAAATACATTGCTGCCTAACATATTTGTAGGTACGGAGTCAGAGATTTTTCTATTTCTATATTCTATGTGCCAGTCATATAAATATAATAAATACATATTATAAGGATGTAAGAAATGTTGAGGTAATGTGTTCGCTACAGTGTAACATAGAAGAAAATTTTATTGAATGTGACAGTGATACCACTGCCTTTTTAAGAATGTTTGCTTTGTCAAGGAGGGCAAGGGTTAACCTCTTTATAGAAAGACTTGTTTATCGTATCAGGATAATCTTCAGTCATACAAAACTGGAATGATATCAAAGCGGTAATGGTGAACAGGTGAGACTTGTCACTTCAGACACAGTGAAAGTCCGACAGGAAGTCCA